GCTAATGTCTGTTGGGAGTGGGGGGTTGGTCACCTCTAGGCAGGTGGTGCCAGTTCTAAGCTGCTGCTGTGAAGCTCCGCGTGAATAATGTATAGAACTGCTGGGCTTCACCGACATAGAAACAGAAATAACAGAAAAATAAAGATCATGTTAGCTTGGATTGACCAAAAAAGACCCCAGCAACCCTTAGAATACCAAATTTACCCGTTCCAGTATGTCTCAGTACCAGAGTTTTGAGTTAAATTGCTCAGCCAAACCGGAGACGGGAAGCGCTCCGCTTCCTTGTGCTCGCGGTGCAAACCAGGGCATCAGTCCCTCGCCCCGGGGCGATCGTGGCCGGAGAAGGAATGATTTGCAATGTCTGTGCTCGGGCTTGTAGTTCAGTTGGGACCACTCTGAAAGCCTGTGGGTTGTTCCCCCCCCAGCCCAGTTTCCAGGAGAAGGAGGCTCCTGAACTAGATAAGGGTGCACAGCTCTTTTTTTGGGGAAAACGGGACATGCGTGAGCAGCCATGGGCCTGCTACTCGGTGCAGGAATCACTTCAAAACAAATGTATAAATTGTAAATTTAACTAGGAATTTTCTTTGCAATTTTGGCCATCATATTCTGTTCAAAGACAGGAACATGGATCCTTTTACCAAGTAAAAAAAGGCTCATTTAAAATGTACCTAAAATTTTAGGAAATCGTGCACCCTTTTATCAATTTGTATAAAGGCTTTAGTGAAAAGAAAAAAAAACTGTTAAAATTAAACTTTTTGTATTCTGGGGTGTATCTATTTTTATTCTGTTGGAAACCTATTTAAAGTGGCAGGTGAGTGAGTGCTTGCGTGTCGAGTGGAAGACTTTGTTTCAATCACCTCCTTGAATAGTACAGCTGAATGACCTCGTGACAGCAGAGTATTGGGTTGAATTGTCATGAAAGCTGCTGCTGGTCCTGTGTGCTGTTTCTAATGTACTTTTAATTGGAATAAAGAACACATACTGAAGGACGCCTCCGTTTGTTTCTTGCTTGGATACATTTTGTTGTTTGAAAGCCTTAGGTAAGGATGTTCCCAGCCAGGAGGCCTGATGAGTTTTCTATTTATGACCTCAAAGTACCCTGTGACAGCCTGAAATTCATCTGATTTAGTGCTGAAATTCTTAAAAGCTTCTCACAGGGAAGCTTTTTAAGGATACCACGCTATAAATGAGGTCAGATAAATACTCTTCTTTCCCCTAGTGCTTTTTGTGCCAGACTTGCTGCTAAGACCTCCTCTGCCTCCCCACAAGACTTTTGAGGGGACGAGAAGCAGGGGAGAAAAGAGATGTTCTCCCTGCGCTGTGCTTGGATAGATTGAGACTTGACATGGTTTTTAGAAAAGGAAATAATTAAAATGCACATCTTGGACACTGTAGCAGGGGGAGTTTGTTAGAGGACCAAACTCATTGAGCTTTATCTTGGACGGGGATATTCAGGAGGAATCTCCTCCAGCATGAGAAGTGCTGCCCGCTGCGGTGCAAGTTGCTCTTACTCTTCCATTCTTGGCGAAAGCGTCGGCCACTGTGCGCTCCGAAACCTGCGTGGTGGCCACTGCGTCTCGTTGTTGGCACTTGCTGAGCCAAAGGGCTTCCTTTTTTTCTGCAATCTTGTGTTTAACACAGGACAAAGGTACAAACTCCAGGAAGGCGGTGTGGACAGCAGCTGACTAAAAAGTCTGATTTGGACAGTCCCTGAGCTATTTGGCATCAAATTCACGACGCGATGGCTGAGCCTCCAGCTCACGTAAATCATGTGAAGTCACAGCCTAAAAGGTTTTATTGGTGTACCACCACACAGTCTGGAAACACTCTGAAACTCAGCAATAACATTGTATAGACAAAAGCAGAAAAAAGGAATTAACGACCCAGTGCTGAGTGAAACACAGAAAACCGTTCCCGAAACTAAGTGAAATACTTGGCTCCCCACTGCGGTCTGACTGAAGGCACCCATGTGTTTCGGTATGTGGGTCTCCCTGAAGACGCTGGGATTGCTGCTGTGCAATCACCATCACCTGCAGGTAACACTGTTTCATCAGGTACCATTTTGATCCAGCTGCTGGACCCTGAACACTTCCTTTAGAAGGAGATGCAAGGCTCTTGGTCAAGGCCAGCAGCTGTTTTCCACTACAATTGCTGTTTATCTCAGCAGTTAGGCTGAGATAAAACGGTGGGTTTACCTCAAAGTATTGAAACTAGCTCACCTGTGTGGCAAGTGGCCCATTTTTTGAGTAGATTGAATTATTGCCTTTGAACCATAAGAATTTCCATTAGAAACCTAGAAGATTTTTATTTTTTTTAGCACAAGTGCATTGTTTTTATCTAAAACCTTCCAAGTTACCCTACCGGCCTTTTTTAATGATGGTTTAGTAAAATAGGGTCTACTGCCTGAGCCAATTCCTTAGTCAAATGCAATTAATATATTTTTATTTAAAAATTCTCAAAGCAGCACTTGCTTTCTTGGACTAACTCATTTCAGCGTCAAGGTGTTAAAGGGAAGTATTTTGTAACATCCCATCTTAACTATCCATCTGTTCTTACCTATGGATCACAGCAGTTCAATGAGAGAGGGAAAACTATGTAGAAAATCCTGCTGCTCACCGACACAGCCAAAATAATAACTATTTGTTCTTAAAAAGCTGATGAAGTCACACTCTTAGAAGCTGCACTGAGCTTATCCAGAAAGAGCTGAGCCCTCATAGGTGTATCACCATCGGTCTTAACATTTAATACCTGCCAATACTCCATTAACATCTTATTACTGCTATTTCCAGATGGTTTTCAGGTTTGATCATCTTTTCAGTCACTCTTGAGATGTTTAGGATGATGATAACCTGCTGAAGATGGTCCTCCAGAGTGAAACAGTTCCGTTTCTGCCTTCCCAAAGAGATGCCTCCGCATCCGGATCCGCTCTGGGAAGTAGTAGAAATACAGACAAGGACGAGGGGAGAGGTCTCGGAAACTTCAGTCTTCAAAGAAGAAAACTGACAACTTCAAAAAGGCCAAAAGTTGGTGGCGCTCAGGAAGCAATTTGTGATGGCACAGGTGAAAAAAGATGTGACTTATGTAGCGGGTCTGTGCACCTGAAATACTGTTTCAACACATATACACAAGGCTGCTCCAAGGGGAATTTTTGGACAATGGCCAGATGAAGCAGTGGGCCCAGGAAACATCAGAACTTCATTTTTTTTGGAAGAAATAATGCATCCCACTCAGCAGAATGACCTAGAGCGGCGTGGTGGCTTCTGGGTGCACCTAAAGATCTGCATCGTGCTGCTCCTTCTGTCGGATGCACAGCACAGACTTGTGGAGAATCCCACATTCGTGGAGGGATCTTGTAAGGTCGGAGAAACTCCTTCTGGGCACCTCCGTCGTTTCAACGCTGCAGTGTTTGTACGTGGCCGACATTTTCTGTTCCGCCACGGCAAGGACCAGCTGGAGAGTGTCAGTGGGCTTGAAATGATGTTCAAATCTCCGACCAGAGGGAGATCGAACAGCGAGCAGCAATTGCGACTCTTCTTTCAGTGGCTCTTCCAAACTTAGAGTTGACATCCAAGGGCTCTCTTGTCTCATTTTCCTGCCCGGTTTCTCAGGAGAACATTGCACATGTGAGCCTTCCTCATCGGGGATATCGATTTCTGACAACACGCTGGCAGATCCTTGTTCTCCAGAAAGAGTTTTGGTTTTCGGAGCGTCCTCCTGCCCACCACTCACTTTCAGCTGGTCGGTCTGTTCAGCCACCGCTTCCACAGCACCGCTCCTGACACTTTTCTGGCCAATGGAGGGGAGCACCCTGTACCTGTTCAGGGAAGAGGAGGTCCTCAAAGGCACTTGCTGCAGGAGCTCTGGGATTTCCCCGGGAGACACGTGGCCGGATGGGAATGCCTGTTTTGTGAACAATCCTCTCCGGCTCTTCACTGTTTGGTGGGGAGCTGCTGGTGGCAGGGAAGGTGGCACTCGGCAAGGACAGGCTTCCATGCTCTGGGAACAATTGAAGCGTGGTCTTGTGCGTCCTTTGGCAGATTTTGGCCTCGTGACGTGCATGTTGGCGGCGTTTGACCACGAGAAAGCGGCTGCTGTGCTTGAAGGGAAGGAGCGGTAAGATGGTGCTGAGTTCAGAAGAGCCGCTGTAGCCATTGCTTCTGAAGGCACCTGCGGACGGGGTAGCAGAGGGAAAAGTTACAGGAATTGGTCCGAAAGCTTCTAGAGAGCTTAATCTCCCTACAGCTCCCACTTTTGTGCTGCATGTCAGCTAATAATAAATCTGGTGTATCACCGTGTAGGCAGGAGCAATCCTACGGTTCAGTAACAGCTGAGTCAGAGACGGCGGGATATGTGTATTTGTAAGTGCTGGCTTTGTCAGGAATTGTTTAAAGTCGACCCAGAGCATCAGGAAATTGTGCCCTTCCCAACTTAGAGGAAGTTTTTGATGGAAAGAACAGAAACCTTTTTTTTTCTGAAGCTCGAAACTCAGTGAAAACAGGAGATGAGTGAACTTCAAAGCACGGATCTGTCCTTTTCGCTGCTCCTGCAGTGAAAGACTAAGTTCCCGTCGTAGGCTTTTGAGTAAGACTGACTGCACTTTGCTTTTTAAAAATCTCTGAAGACCTCTGAGATTGAATATGTCTGATTCAATGCGGAGAAACCCATTCTGACTTCTCCTGGGACCAGAAGCTGCGTAACAGCGATCGATATTAACCTCCATCAAAGATGAAACTATGTTCTGCTGTGTGTTCCCCAACTTAAGCTGCGCTCAGACCACTTGTGCTTTAGTAGGACAAAGCCCAAAAGCCCAGACTCCAGGGCCACAAACTCACAACAACATTTCGGAGAAGAGCAACAGGGTCACACGCTTTTCTGTTTTGCATAGCAGGATTTGTGAAGGGGGAAAATAAAATGCCAACTCTGATTGCTTGGCATTCTCCAATAACGATAAAGTCGGACTCGCTGCTGCTCCACCACCTCACAACACACAGAGAAAGAGACGGGAACAACCACTGTGGTTGTTCCACAACCTTTTGCCAGAAATGCATTATTTAATGCTTGATTTCTCCTCCACCGCCGTGAAATGGAAACACTCAGCAAACCAACGGAAAGCAACGCCAAGGCAGAGTCCCAGAACACAGGAGTGCCTTGGCCAGCTCCAGTGTGAGCTGCTTGGAGATGGAGAGATCTGTCCCTCTGTAAGCCTACGGCAGAGCTACGGACAGGGACATGCCACCCAAGTGACTCACTGGAGTTTCCTGGGAGCCTAGGGGGGGGGGGGGGGAGGTGTGCCTTTCGTGTACGGCCTCTAACAAATAAACTCCAAAGCAACAAGCTGCAGTTCCACAACCTCTGAAAAGGATGTCCCAGGCATCGCAGCACTTTACCAGACAGCACCAGTTATACTGCCAGTTCAAAGAATAAAAACCCCCAAACAACCAACCCGACAGAGGGTGCTGAGGCACTGGACCAGGTTGCCCAGAGAAGTTGTGGCTGGCCCCGCC